CTCGGGGGAGCCTGGCTGCGCTGGCAGGGGGTGCTGCCATCCCCAGAGCAGCGAGGGCAGGGCAAGGCAGAACTGCCTGGCCATGCGTTGGCCAGCTCTGGGAGCTGGGCAGTGCAGCCAGGGGTGGATGCAGGAGAACAGGCTCTGTCCAGGAGCCGCCTCGCTCAGCAATGGCCAAAGCGTGGGTCAGAATCAAAAATAAATTTGGGGAAGGGAGGGAGAGGGTTAGAAAACACAGACACCCATGTCCTGGGGAAGCGCAGAGCTGAACGCGGCCTGGATGCAGGAGGACACAAGCCACAGCCAGCTGCGGCCAGCACAGCCTCATATCAGCATCACCAGCGTTCCCACGATGCCAGGCCCACCACCAGTGGGGCAGGCTCTTCCCCTCCTGCCACAGTCCTCAGCCACAGTGCCGAGACATGGGCCCATGGCACCCGGGCACTGCTGTGGCACAGTCAGGCAGCTGGGCACTCCGGCTTGCCTTCTGCTGCAGCTGCAGGGACTCCCCTCAAGACAACGCGTTTCCACCTTTCACAACTTGGGCTCAGAGGAAAACCCAATTTCTCTGTCCCCAGGCTACACCTCTGCTGAGGGCTTGTTGCTGTGGTCCCTCTTCCTTGGGCAAAGGGTAACATAGATCCAAGTGCCACTGCCCAAAGCCACAAAGCCCAGCTGCTTCTTCTCACAGTCTTGACTCCCAGGCTACTGACGCTTGGCTTTATACGGCCCGGGAGCGTTCCGGCCGTCAGTGGCCCGGCTTCCTCTGCTTGTGCAGACGGCCGATGCTGACTCCCTGCCGCCTGCGGACGGAGATGTTCTGCTCCACGAGGCTTGCCAGCATGCCTGCAGGGGGAGAGGCAGACAGACATGTCCCGCTCTGGAGTGCTGGTGTTGCCCATGCCAGAGTGCAGCCCTCCCTCTCTCACCCAAAACCCATCAGTGGGCTCCTCCTGGGACTATGAAATCAGAAGGACACAGAGCGGAGACATGTGGCTCCCCAGACTGAGCGCTACCTCGTGCCCCGGGCCTGGCAGAAGCAGAGATCAGGGCAGGGTGAGCTTCCCAGGCTGCCAGCTGCTGCTCTGCCCTGCTCAGTGCAGCCCCCCCCCAGCTGAATCTGAAGCCCGTGCTCCGTCCCCTCGGCCGCACAGCACAGCTCACCTTCCTGGGCCAGCATGGAGATGAAGGTACAGATGAACTCATCGTAGTTGTGGGTTCTCCTCTGGTCATCGATCTACAAAGAGATGACAAATCCACAAATAATCCACAAACAGGTGGCAGGGAGAAAGGAGAGCTCAAGGCTAACAGGGGCAAAGAACCAGCATGCCTGGCCCATCCCACAGGCCAAGGAGACCAGAGCAGGAAGGGACCCAGCACCCAGCCCAGCTCAGGCCAGTGCACAACTGGGACGGTCTCCACCCCAGTTCAGATGCCAGCATTTTCCACAAAGGGCAGCTGGGAAGAGGCGAAGTGGGCAGAGGAGGAATCCTGCCAGGCCTCAGGGCAGAGCCTCCCTGCTTCCTCCCGTCAGTGTGCTGTTCAGCTGTGGCCCAGCTGCAGTGCTCCACCATCCTCCTCACGCTAGTTAGTGCTGCCCAGGGGATTTGGTCTGTCCTGGCGGGAGCTCTGCTGTTTGGTAACGGGAAAGAGACCCCGAATGCTCCCCACGGCTGTTCTCAGCTGAAACACCCTCCCTCACTTTGACATAAAGACACCCCAGACAGAAGCCTTCAGGGAGCTAAATCGGCAACGCAAACAAGCCATCAACAAACATACCTTGAATTTCTTCCTCTTCTCTACCTCTTCCTTCAGGCAGGCCTCATAGTTCGCAATCTCTGCCTCCACGCACTTCAGCAGTGCCAGCAGCTCCTGCCAGGA